AAACTTGTGGTCAGTATTATTTTTTTAGTCTTGTTTCGTTTTGTGTTTTAAATGTAGACACTATTAAAGTTATTAAGGAGGCAGGCTTCGTCGATCCTGCATGCCAGGGACAACCCGGGCTGAGAGGGATACAGGAAGACCTAGATCTAGATACTCGATAAAAATGTGAGGCAGCGTGGAGGAATCAGGCTCTCGTCAATTTTTGGGCATGTAGAGTTATTGGTATCATCTTAAAGCTTGTTCACTTGTTTTTATTTGGAAGAAAAAAAATATCCATTTATCTTGAATAGAAGTCGATATATTTGCGAAAGAAGGAGGTGGGGGTCACTTGTTTTCATAGATAAAATTAGTGAGAAAATGGCTGTCAAAGATTAGCAATTTCCTTAGCTTAAGAGTCCGTGGTAACTGAAAATTTACATTTTTTGTGCCTTTATTCAACGTTTTTCAGAAAAATCCACACAGAAATGAGTTCTTAAATGGGCATGAAAGGTGTTGAGGCAAAAAAACAAAAATTTGACAAAAGTTCACAAACCTGCGGAAAAATGCAAGTTTTTTCACTTTAATTATTTTGACGACAGCCTGATTCCACCACGCTGCCTCACAAATGTTCCTCACACGGACATCAAACTTGGGTCTCCTGGTGCGACGAACAACCTTCTACTGCTACTGCTAAACCACGTACAGACGTCGGTAGTCAGTATTGTAAAAGTCGTAACAGCTGGTGTTGTTCGGTGCCTGGTGTTAATGAAGGCTGTGAAGTTGATGTCATCCAGTGTGTACTTCATATTACTTGTGATGTAGAGGATGTTGGATAGACTTGTAGCTGCAACAGCATCAGTAGTAGTAGTAGTAGTAGTAGTAGTAGTAGTAGTAGTAGTAGTAGTAGTAGAAGCAGGATGAGTTGAGGAACCCAAATGGAAGGTCATTCAATAATTAACTTGTTCTTCTTTTGCCTCAAATATCACAGGAGACTCAACACGTGTCCAGTTGGTTGATCCGGCAGTTGGGAATTTGACCCTTGCTTCTGACGTCGACTACGACCCCCCTGGGAATGACCGTTTGTTTGTCGTGGAGGTGACGGTGGCTGACACAGTGGCGACTCAACTGTCGACTACCGTCACCGTGAGCGTTTTCATTGAAGACGTCGACGATAACCTGCCAATATTCTCGGGAGCTCCGTTTACAATCGACCGTGAGTTTTTCCATAGATTTGAAGGTTGGCTCTCTGGCCTAGATAGAGGTTAAGGTGTTAGCCTCTCATTCAAAGGTCCTGGGTTCGATTCCTGGAAGCGACGGAACATTAAAATTTTATTCTTTAAAATTGTCTCCTTTCACATCCTTTCCTGCTCTCCTACAGTGTTCTGTCGTCTGCTTTCGTTTCCATGTTCTGCACTCACCCCCTTACCTCCTTTGCCCACTCCTCTGGGCTCCTGACTCTTTCTGCAGCCTTTCTACTGCTACTCCTTGGCTCCTTCTTACTGCTGTCTTTCAGCCACACCGCTGATCTTCTGGTAGGAAAGATCTGCATCTAGCCTTCTTGGACAAGGGTGAAAAATGTCAGAGATCTCATGTGCAAGTTATGCACGTTAACGACCCCTTAGTGGTCTAGAATCGATAAGAGTAGGCTTCGGCCTTGCGAATTTGTTGATGCTTTTCCCTGAACTCTGCCTTTACTAAAATCCCGAACTTAAATCTAGATCTAGTTGTAATCTAGTTACAGGTAGCAGATTTCTGGAATCCAGTACATTCAAGAGATTAAAAGAATTGCACTAGACTCCAAAGACTTTTCTACTTCGCTACTTCTAGATTTAATAAACCTTCAAGATTACAAAGGCCACGCCTAGCTAGCTTTTAAGGCTTCATTGTTAAAAGTGTTGTTTAACACAAAGTCTAAGAAGTTAGCAAACCAAACACATTTTTCTAATGAAATGAAGCTTAAATTGACTTTTGTATTGTCAGTAAGAGATCATGTTTAGTCATCTATTCATCTAAGTAAAGAATAAAACGAACACAGATTCAAGATTGTCCTAGTGGCTCTATAGTCTATACTGCATCTAGAACTAGATTTAGGGGCACCTAGATCTAATACTCATCCCTCTTAGATTTTGCATATCAAAGCACACAAGAGGAATGTGTTCATTCTCAGACAAAAACATAGTAAATTTTTCTAGACCTATCTAGATTTAGATATCCAAATTCTAGGCCCAATTTACATATCTAGTATTTAGGCCTCTGTATGGATGTGACCTAGTCTAGATCTAGATCCACTTTTTGCTAAGAGGGATGAGTATTAGATCTAGGTGCTACTAAATCTAGATCTAGATCTAGTATAGGGTTACTTAGACAATCTTGAACCTTGTTTGTTTTATTCCTTAGGTACTAAGATGATTCGATGACTAAACATGATCTCAGTAATTACTGACAATATAAAAGTCGATTTAAGCTTCATTTCGTTAGAAAAATGTGTTAAGTTTGCTAACTTCTTAGACTTTGTGTTAAACAACACTTTTAACAAAATGAAGCCGTACAAGCTAGCTAGGCTTGGCCTTTGTAATCTTGAAGGCATTGAAGGTTTATTCAATCTGGAAGAAGCGAAGTAGAAGAGTCTTACTACTAGAGTCTAAGAGTCTAGTGCAATTCGTTTAATCTCTTGAATGTACTGGATTCCAGAAATCTGCTACCTGCAACTAGATTACAACTCTAGATCTAGATTCGGGATTTTAGTAAAGGCAGAGTCCAGGGAAAAACATCAACAAATTCGCGTGGTGATGAGTAAAGAGACACCAAATCAATCTCAATATTGCGACTATCACAGCACAGTGACACCACTTCGCCTTACTTGTTTCGGTAAATACCTATAAATAGATTGAAGTTTGACCCCTGTCAAAGGTTGGGATGTGGCTAACGATTTGGGATGTGGCTGCGGGTTGACGAAAGGGAAAAGCGCATCGGAGACGGACGTAAAACTAGGAGGTCCAACCCCTTAAATAACCTAATAGTGTTGATAGGGGCGTTAAACCCAGAAGAGAGAAGTTGGTTTTAGATATTTGAACAGCTTGACGACGATTTATTATATGATATAGAAAGTAGTAGTAGTAGTAGTAGTAGTAGTAGTAGTAGTAGTAGTAGTAGTAGTAG